AGAGAGAGAGAGGAAGGAGCCAGGAAAAAGTCAGAGTCAGAGGGGGGAAAAGGGATAATAGAACGAACGTGCAACTGAAAAGTGTGTTGCAACAAGATTTAAACAGTATGACTTTTGAACTGTGGATACTTATGTATGTGAACTATAAGAACCAAGCGGGTGGCATTAGATAGAAATATATTCTGCTGGCCTTTTGTTGACGGTGCAGAGAAAAAAGGTGTCGGGTAAACAACACAATCTAATTGTCAGTCTACACTGGAACTGGGGATGTGTGTGGCTTACCATGGCAACGTAGGGGTATTTCTTGACGATCTCTCGGAGTCTTGCAAACTCTTCTTCCAAGTTACTTGCCCACACGTCGATAAACGTGCCTGACAGACACAACAAGAGGAAGGAAAGAAAGAGGAGAGGATTGGGAAGTCACAGCACAGCACATGGCAAGTCACATAGTTACAACGACAGCATAATGAGTAAGAGCGAAATGGCTAAAAATCTTCCACACACAACGGGCAAATGTGAAGCTTTTTATTATAGTATGAAGCTTCTATGAGTTAGTGTACCACCTCCATCAGCACTGGTAGCTCCTGTAGTTCTCATAGTCCCAGTCGAGTTTCCTGGTGCCCCTCCACTAGAGTTGCCTCCACCAGTCTGCATAGTGGACACCACCATATATGTAGACTGCAATACTACTGGGCAGAGAGAGGAGAGGAAGGAGAAAGAGAAGAAGAGAGGGAGAAACAAGAGGGAGAGGAGGGGTAGGAGGCGGTAAAAGGGTTACAAAACACTAGCTGTCCACACCTCCCTACACGTACGCTCCATTAGTAGCGACGTTCAGCTAAAAAGGAGTATCTACTTACTCGCTGAAAAGGCGTCCTACACCTCCCACGTCATATCCTACAGGTACCGAGTCCCCCGTCCTACCTCCACGTCTGTGTGTCAGTTCCGAGTCTCACACGAGCAACTGCTAGATCAGACACTCTCTCCCCGGCTTTAGCTTTGACGAACGCTCCGCCGCTCGCCTTTCACAGGTCTCTGTCTCCCTTTTGTCGCCTCACTCGATGTCTCCACTCGACACTATAGGACACTGAGCGAAGGCTTCGACTTTTGGCCTGTACTCCGTGCCTTTCAGCGCCGGCTCTAGCGTGCAAACTTTGGACTAGCTCCGACTGTCACTGGGGGCGCGAAACATAAACACGTCCGCCATTTTTCTCTCATTACCGCGCGTAGGAAATTCCTAAAAACACGGTGCGCATGCGCAACTCAATGAGCTTTCCTTTTTTTATTAATTCATCGCAGGAAAGAGAAATTAATCACACAATAATTACAAAAACATTAGTATGGATACAATTATTATTATAATGCCATAGTATACAAAGTGTGATATAAAATGTAAGCCTATTGGTGGACACAGTTCCTAAGCAAGTTGTATTAGTTCTACATGGCGGACATGTCTTCAGGATGGATCATCTGATAGCGGTTCAATGTGTAGTAGATGCCACGTTCTCGCAGCAGTGCTTCGTGCGTCCCTTTCTCTGCTACTTTTCCCGACTTGATGACGATTATGACGTCAGCATTGTAGATGGTGGAGAGTCGGTGGGCGATGACGATGCTAGTCCGGCCCTCCCTGGCCTTGTCCAGAGCCTCCTGAACTATCTTCTCACTCTCTGTGTCCAGGGCCGAGGTGGCTTCGTCCAGGAGGAGGATCTTGGGGTTCCTCACCAGAGCACGGGCTATGGCAATTCGCTGCTTCTGACCTCCCGACAGCTGGGTTCCCTTACTACCTACATTAGTGCTGTAGCCCTACAGAAAGGCAGACAGAAAGAGGATAAACAAGAGAAACCACTTTAGTCAAAGAGAGATGGGGGGAAGTAGAGAGGGGGAAAGAGAGGTACCTGAGGCAGGGACTCGATGAAGGAGTGAATGTTGGCAGCCTTGGCAGCCTCCACCACCTCATCGTCAGACACCTCCCTGAAGTTGGCTCCGTAGCGGATGTTGTCGGCGATGGAGGTGTCGAAGAGGACGGGCTCCTGGGACACGAGTCCCACCTGGGACCTCAGCCAGCGGATGTTGAGGTCTCTCAGGTCACTGCCGTCCAGAGTCAGACTCCCAGACTCTGGGTCGTAGAACCTCTCCAGTAGGGACACTATGGTGCTCTTCCCGCACCCACTGGGACCCACCAGAGCAACCGTCTGGCCCGGTTTAACCGACAGGCTCATTTTGTCAATAACTTTAGCCCCTGGTCGAGAGGGGTATTCAAAAGTGATGTCTTGCATTTCAATCTCTCCGTCAACCCTCTCCTGCAGGTGGAAATGTCATTCATGTCACACATCCGCGGCTCTTTAGAAAGACGGTAAAACAATACACTTTTGGGCTTTTGAAGGACAGCTGGTTACATTTGTCGACAATAGCTCCGTAGCCTGCCCCCCTCGACAGCTGCTTTGTTCCTCCCCACACCCTCAAGAGGGCCAGGATAAAAATGTAGTGTGTGCGCAGCAGTTACTTTACAGCCCGAAGCAAAAAAAATTTAGCTGTAGTGTGTAAACCTTTTCACCAACCCGCACATAGTTACAGAGACTTACCGGTGTTTCTCCTTCATCAGAGTAGTTATCAATGAGGGGTTTGCGGTCGAGCATGAAGAATATCCTGTTCGCGGAGAGCTTGGCCTTGGTAAAGTCCGGGGCAAACGCGCTGGCCTGCCCAATTGCAGCACCGCCAAAGACAATCGCGATGAATACTCGGAACACGTCGAAGAATGGAACGTAGGCAAAGTGGTCAGTGGGTTGCGTGACGAGGAGGGCCCCGAATCGAAAGACAATGGCATACAGGTAGAAAACGGTGCTCTTGGAGATGCCGTAGGAAATGGCGTACACTAGCAGATTGTTCCGAGAACTCCTGCAAGAAAAAGTTTAATACAGTTAAACTGGTATCTCGAAATCATTAAAGCTCCCAAACATCTAATCCCTCACCTGTACATGACGTTGATGCGTGCAGAGTACTGCTGGTAGAAGTTTCCCTCCACTCCCAGCGCCGCTACTGTCCTTATGTTCTCGATAGAGTCAAACGCCACCATTCCAGCATTCTCGAGGGCCTTCTTGTTCCTGGCAATGTTTTTGTTCAGGACCGCGGTCTGGAACACACCGCCGGCTATTATGAAGGGGATGACGGCTACCATGAAGAGAGTCATCACCCACGAGTACACGAAGGCGATGACAAGAGCAAGAATGAGTGCCGTGAAGGTCTCGATGAGCGTGCTCAATCTGCTTCCCGTCGCCTGGGGAACGAGAAACAGAGAGAGATAATCAACAATTGTGAAGTGAAGTTAAATTTTTAGGTGCAGGGGTTAAATAGGGGGATGGGGTCGATAAAGTCTTGTCTTTGGCCCCCCTCCCCCCTGGGATCAAGTTCTAGATAAAACCCTAAGTTGAATCAACAAACTAAATTTTCAAAGAAGAAACAGAGGTAAAACTTACTCCTTGAACTTGGCCGGCGTCGCTGGCCAGTCGAGTGGTGAGGGCTCCCGTGGAGTTCCTCTCGTTGTCAAACCAGCCAATCTCCTGCCTCAACATGGCTCTGAACGTGAGCTGTCTCAGCCGTAGGGTGAGCCGGTCGCCAGACACTGCGAAACACAGCACCTGAGGCAACAACGAACGCAGTATCATGTATCTTAAGTCTCTCAGAATAATACGTATAATGTTGTATACATACACTATGAAGAACAGAATTGTAGAATACAATGTATGGCACAGAATTGCACAGTACAATGTTACGCAATCTGCACTGCAGTCAAACACCGTGACGTATACATACGTGCCACTGTATTATACACACATGTAGAATCTACCACACGCCTAATGCTGAAACCACGGGCCTAATGCTGAAACAAGATCGGATTATCTCGTGACCAGAAACTGCAGATCACAGACCTTGAAGAATATGGCGATGGCCGAGCTGAGAGCCAGGACCAGGAACAGCACGGCCCAGATGGTGATCCCCTCGATGATCTGGTCCGTTCGTGACTCCTGAAACACCTTCAGGACCTCTCCGAACAGGATCGAGTAGACTAGGGAAGACACTCCCGTTGATCATGGCTGCCAGGACGCCCACGGTGATGAGCCACCATTCGGGGGCGTTCAGTCGCAGGAGGCGGTGGAGTGGAGCGCTGGGTATCTCCTTGTCCCATTTCTCCTGCAGCTTCTTGGAGGACACCAGTGACTTCTGTCCCGCAGTTCCCGTCTACAGTAGCGAGAAAAGACAGCACATAAGGGTACTCCGATATGCAGCAGAGCAGGGAGCTTGTCACTCCCACAAAGATTTCCCACTATCTTTAGTAAGAGTGCGAAATTTCCTCTGTTGCATCATTGTCAAGACAAATATAGACTTCTACTCGTTCAATAGAGTAGGTCATTGTAGTGGAAAGGTGACCTGTGTCCAATTGTACAGTAAGGTGAAATCCCTGAATGAAGGACACCTCTCTTTGAGTACACTTGGTTCTGACTCAGAGTACCTCTGATCAAGGGGCACCTCTGATTTTAAAGGACTCATTGATGGCCCCAATTTGTCCTTTATTCTGCTTACAGATTCATTTCCCTCTTTCTCCTTGTCAAAGTGTGAGCTAAGTACCTGAGAGGTCTGTCTCTGGATTGCACTGGTCTGGTGCTGGAGACTGACTTGTCTGTGGAATGTTGGACTGGTAGCTCCTCCAGACTCTGACGCCTGTTTAGACCGCTGCCTCAGGGCCAGCAACTGACCCGCACCACTCTGGGCAAACAACTCATCTGCTCCATACGACTAGAGGGAGGGAGAGAGAGAGAGGGAGAGAGAGAGAGAGAGAGAGAGGAGGGAGAGAAGAGCGAAAGAAAGAGAGAGGGGAGAGATAAGTTTCTGCTCACATTTAGGGGAAAGAGGTGTACTTATAGGAACAGAAGTGTCCAACCAACAGTGCAAGGTAAAAGGCGAAAGGGAAGTGGGAAAGAATTTTCAAACGTGTACAGTGAAGGTAAGTGCATGTGGGAAAGATAAAATGTATAATGTAGGTTGTTACCTGAGCAGTGACCAGTTCATAGTAGAGTCCCTCTCTGTCCATGAGATCAGAGTGAGTGCCCCATTCCACCACCTGCCCTTGGTCTATGGAGGCTATTACATCAGCAGTCTGAATGGTGGAGAGTCGGTGGGCGATGACAATGGTGGTCCGGCCCTCCCTGGCCTTGTCCAGAGCCTCCTGAACTATCTTCTCACTCTCTGTGTCCAGGGCCGAGGTGGCTTCGTCCAGGAGGAGGATCTTGGGGTTCCTCACCAGAGCACGGGCTATGGCAATTCGCTGCTTCTGACCTCCCGACAGCTGAACTCCTCTCTCCCCGGCCAACGTATCGTAACCATTGGGTAGTTCCATTATGAAATCGTGGGCATTAGCACTCTTTGCAGCCGCCTGGATCTCTTCAATAGAAGCTCCATTCTCTCTCCCATACGCTATGTTTTCAGCGATGGTGGTATCGAAGAGGACGGGCTCCTGACTAACGACTCCAATATTAGATCTCAGCCATTTGAGGTTCAGCGACCTCACATCTCTTCCACTCACCAGGACCTGAGAAAGACAGAGGAAAAAATGAAGTTTAATACATATTGGACCAGCTTATGAAGACTGAGTATATATGCATCTTAAAATGGATCAACATACCAGCTTATGAAGACTGAGTATGCATCTTAAAATGGATCAACATACCAATGCATCAGTTCAACAATATACAGCAGAAAATTGTCGGTTTTATAGTTGGTAAGAAAAATATCTGTGAAAAAATCATGCAACTACACCCAAAACCTTTACAGGTGTTCTCAGATTCACGAAAAACGCTCTCCTTTAAGTATTACACATGCAGTACAGTACAGTACAGTACAGTGTGAGAAGAGACTGACTTTGCCAGCCCGAGGGTTGTAGAACCTCTCAATGAGAGAGACGACGGTGCTCTTCCCACTGCCACTGGCACCCACCAGAGCCACCGTCTGCCCACTCGCCACCTTCAGAGAGAACCTCTCCAGAACTGGGACGCCGGGTCTAGTGGGGTAGGCAAAGTCGACACTCTCAAACTCGACGGTACTCTCGAATTTATCAAGAGTATCTCCCTCGTCGCTGTACACGTCGATAGGGGGCGTCTGTAATAGAAGAGAGAGAAATAGAAGTTAAACATCTGCAAAACTGAAAGAGACATCTCTGAGAATAAAGGCACTTTTCGACTGACAAAGTGTGACTTATTCAGAGTTTAGAGTAATCAAGTGGTGTCAGGTGTGTCAAACGGTGTGTCAAGTGGTGTCTCACTCGATCAATGGTGTCGAAGATGGCACTGCCGGCACCAGAGGCCGTCTGGAGCAGTTCCAGTTGAGGCGCCGCTTGGCCCAGGGAGAAGGCTCCAATTAGAATAGCAAAGAACACCTGTGAACCGAACAGGGTGATGTTACAGTCAAGACATCACAACTGTAAAATAGCTGAGAAATTGCAATTAAGCTCAGAAAATTGAATTTCTAGCACATCAAGGCAGACAGTGCTGGTCTGTAGTCTTACTCACAGTGAAGATCTTGCCAGCTGTGAGTTGGTCTTCAGAAATGAGGTAGGCACCAAACCTAAATGGAGAGAAAGTCACAACACTTGCTACCACAGCACAGCAAAATAGTAAAGGTGCCACAGTACAGTACATATGGAAGTGGCCACAGAGCAATGGCCACAGCTAGTAATCTCCACTCACCAGAAAGCGACAGAGTACATGGCAAACAGGAGGAAGAAGAGTATTCCTGTCAGTACACCCATGAAGAACCCCTTCCTGGCTCCAAGTCGAGTGGCCGATCTCAGCTTGCTGGTGTATCTCTCCACCTCCTTCTGCTCGCCGGAGAAGGCAAACACTGTCCTAATGGAGGAGAGGACCTCCTCTGCGACTGCACCTGCCCCGGCATACACCTTCTGTTCCCTGGTGGTGAACCCAGCCGTCACCTGCAGATATCACACACAACTCTCACAGCTGAAAAATTGTGAACATTGATCGAGGTTTGCAGTGGAAATACTTAGTCACAGTCTTTTCCCCCCGAATTCATAGGTACATATATATCGTAACAGTTAACAATTTTGTTTGACAATGCACTTCAAAGGTTCTTATAGCCATTCAAACTGTGCAAAAGAAAATAAAATTGGCCCTGTATAATTTACCCATGTACGAATACACTTTGCCTATCATAGTATACCTCAAGGGCCAATTAGGCATCTAATTTCAAAGCTGGCACCAGCGAATGCAGGGCAGCTATAACATACACCTCCAATTGTACCACGTGTAGCAAGGCTACTGAGACAAGTCTATATACCTTTTACAAAGGCTCGTCAATATAGCAAGTGCCGCTATAGCATGTGGTCAATTAATAATGAGTGGTGTATAATACCTTGCCCAAGATCATAGTGACAATGACAATGAGAGGAGTGTAGGCCAACATGACCAAGGTGAGTCGCCACTCTTGGGTGAAGGAAACAACGAACGCTGCGGCAAAGGTTGTGAAGCTCTGAATCACGACAGAGAACTTTTCCCCTATCCCTGCCTCTATCTTTTGGACATCGCTGGAGGGAGGGAGAGGGGGAAAAGAGAGAGACGAGGAGAACCAAGAGGTATTAAAAACAGGTATATCTGTAAGGCTAGAAAAAGAAAAAAAAGAAAAGGCTAGAAAAAAAAGAGGTACGTAGGATGGAAAAAGAAGAGGGTAAAAAGAGGCATGAAAAAAGACTCACTCGGAGAGGCGACTGGAGAGCTCTCCACTGGGGTTGGCGTCAAACCAGCCAATGTCCTGACGCAGTATAGCGCGATAGAATCTCCGCCGAATCTGGTGGATCTGTCTTTCTGCTACGTACTGAAACAGCAGAGACTGGAGACCGCTGACTACTAGAATGGCCGTGGCAATCCCGACGTAAATGAGGCACTGGATGACTATGAGATCCGTGAAGGCGGAGTTTCCGAGACACAGTCGACCGTCACCGAAACAGTCGGGGATAATCTCATCAAGGGAGGTGGACCCGTTGATTATTGCAATAGGAGCGTCGCAGTCCACGCGGCCCGTTGTGATAGCCGAAGCACTCATAGTAGCCGCTGTAGCATCGAGACCGTGGACGAGTTGCAGGCAACCGGAAACGATGTCGGTGTTGTTTTGAACCAGCTCCAGCGTGATGGCCTGGTCGATGAAATTGTCGGTCAACTGGCCAAAGATGAGCATTACCACGGGGAACGCCGAGCCGTGGATCATGGCGCAAATCACTCCAATAAACAGGAGGATTCTGTCCAAGATTGTGGAGAATCGAAACTGTGAGAAGAGAGGGGAGAGGGTAGAGGGAGGGATAAAATCAAAGAACGGTGGCGAGTGCTCAGTGTGTATGTATACCAGGGTAAAGATGCTGATTGCTTTGGGCTTGGACTCCGCGTCGTCCCCCTTGCCGGCAACTCTTACACTGCGGTGAGAGGGAGAAGAGATGGTGTTGGAGGATGAAACGTGTCAAGTACCGCAGCTAGCTACTGTTCTCACCCAGTACCGCCAGTCGAGTCGGTCTCCAGCTCCTGGAACTCGAGGGTCTCTCCTCCGCGGGCCCCGCCCATCCCGTCCTGCAGTAAAGGGCCCGCGGACGACGTCAGAAGTCGCGGGTCCTTCTCCCCGCCCGCTGTTCCCTGCGTGCTCGACATCTGTGCGATCAGCAGCTAGAGCACGTGCACTAAATCCCTCGTCTCCCAGGTCAAAACACTTTGTCTTCTTCGATTATTGCCAGAAAACGTCGGTTCTGTGAACGTGACGCAGTCCGGTCCATTTTTATACGAGTCGCCTGGAGTTATGCGCATGCGCATTCGACACAACGCGCGCAATTTCCGCGCGCGCGCTGTTGCCATGCGCAATATGACAACCAGCCAGCTAGCTTCTCCCCTCTGCTCTTCTCAAGTTTTCTGTTGATATTCACTGCGTTTAGCAATGGGAGAGTCGAACAGTGAGCCCTCACCTCATAATAAAAGCAAAACAAACAGGTATGGAGAATGAAAATTGACGCTACAATCTTTATTCAAAGATGTGTTGTGTTAGCTACAGACCAACTTCTACAAAGCTGTTTCAGTCCACTGTGCCACGGACAGGGGCAAGCTATGCTGAAGACTATGGACCTAAAATCACCAAACAGAACCAAAATCTCTGACTTGTCGGCAGCAAATCTGAGAAACAACCCTCACCCAAAAGAGGTTCACTTTGCAATTGCCATTTTTTTCCCTGCACAATAATTTTCCTTTGCAGGCATTCCTTTCGTGGCGGTTGCCGTCTCATTTCCCACCCTTAATAGAAGGGTGTACCCTTTCAGAGGCATCGAGTGCAGAAATGGTGGACAACTTGAAGAAAAAAGCGAAGCCTCTGTCAACCTATCAACAAGACTATGTCAAAGGTATAAATTACCACCAGAAAAAACAGTTATGTATGCATACTCGGATAATAGGGTCACAGGTACTGGGAAATCTCCCTCAACTTTCTTGTGCAATGGACAAAGTGAAGAAAACCAAAAGCTCATCTCCTACAGTGTCTCAGAGGAGGAGGAAGGGAGACAGTTCCAGTGAGATGTGTGAGTCTTACCAGGTCCCCCGGCTCACACCTCACCTGCAAGGAAACACCAGTCGCTACGGCTGCAGCTCCAACTATGTCAAGGCCGCATGTGGCGTCGTTCCCACCCTCCACCCCATCGTCAACGCCCCCAATTACCAGACCTGGTATGCAAACGAGTTTGGAGTCGGTACGACTGGCGGAAAGGGCCACCGAAGACCGCCCACACCCATATACAGACTCAGTCTACCACCCATTCTTCAAGAGAGGGAGTTTGTGGCCTGCATATCTGCCAGAACTGCTCGGGACAAAGCTGGGAACCGAGAGAGCTCCAAGGGAAAGTCATCATCTCCACGTGGACCTGGAGGATTATCAAGTGGGCAGGACCCATGTAATTAACTGTGGACCCTCACCCAGTCTTAATTATTATACTCACTACTGTGGCATTGGTGTTAAAAAGGGTTAGCTGAGTGTGGGCTTTTGTAACCCCGAGATGTAAGGGCTAAACAACCACATGGAATTCAATCAAGGTCCCACTCAGTAAACAGGCTTTCAAAGGAGATTCTATATCGAGCTACAGTATACCTATGATGTCACTATGATGTAACCGGAGTTCTATTCATACCAGCGCCAAAAAACCTGAATTTACCCACTCACTTGGAGTGCTTCCATAAAAGGCATAACTTAAACAAGCTAAGTGTGTCCTGGATGACAATGCAAGGTTCACACAGTACACAAGGTGATGAAAGGAGGATGAATATCTATGTATAGCCAGCATTACATCATAATCATGGTACTATTCATATCCTGTGGAGTGTCAACAGTGCAAAGTTGGGTGGGTAGCCAGTCAGTGACCATACATGGTATGGAGTTGCTTCAACAACAACTTGTCTCTGCTGTCAGCCAGTTTCTCAAATAGTTCCCGACTCTAAAGTAGTCAGAAAACACTTCTGGAGTTAGTATTCTCTTATTGCTAATGCATGGTAGTAGACTCACTGCTTGCTTCTCAGACTTGCTCAGAAAACCCAGAGAGAGTTTGAACCTTGAGCTCTGAGAGAGCACCTCTAGAACACGCAGAACCTTGCCAATGATGTCATCATCATCTTCTAGATGCTAACAGAGAGAGAATGAAACTTTAACTGGATACAAAATTCTTTCGTTACCTTATTCAAAATCGTCAAAATTTCTCCAAGAAGACCCATGCTGTTTTTCAAAAATAATTGTTTCTATGTACAATGTACATGGCCATACTGCACCTTATTTCAACTCTGAACAGTTTAGAGAGTCTGTCTCTTCCAAAGTCCACCAAAAACCTGAAATTGAAATTTGACAAAAATATCAACTAGTAATTCACACTTTCACGGCACTAGGCCCCCTTGACTGGTACTAAACACACCTGTACTGGTCCTGTGGCTGAGCGGCCAATCTCCTCCACTCTCTCATGAAGGACTGCAGACTCATCTCGGCCCCTCCCTCCCCCAATGTCACCTCCTCCCCCTCTTCCCTTCCCTCCACACCTCCCCTATCACTTACAGCTGGGTTCCATGGCTGACGGAAGCCTCCACGTCCACTCGTATCCTTCTTCTCCAGAGGTCTCAGATGCGACCCCTTCACAATCTCCCTGCACACACACAAGTACAAACACAGCTGCACAATGATCGCAGCCCCACCCACTTTTCCACCTGAACTCGTCGTATGTGGCCACTCGCTGGGTGACGGCCCTGATCTTGGCGTCATTCTCTCGCGAGTACTTCCTGTCGGCCGCGAGGGCACTCACCAGCTCCCTCTCTACCCTTTCCACGTCGATCTTTTCCGACATGCGGGGTTTTCTCCAATAAATGCGCACCACAACAAAACCGTTCTAATTGACGCCCGCCTAAGGAGACTCACCCTGTCAAGTTGCGTCATTATGCCGCCCAGGGAACCTCTCTGCTTCAGATAAAGACGCTCTTTTTAGTGACATACACCTGGACGTACAAAATGTTGCCGTTTTGCCGTAATCCACTCCGAGCAGTGAAGGTAAACACGGAATTTCATTGCCTTGTGGTTTATCCTCTCTAATTACAGGAGTTTAGGGTCCTTGCGTCCGTCCCCTCCCGTGGGAAGGCCTCACTCACTCCGGAACAAATGGAGATGATAAGGAGCGGTCCCAGTCTGAGTGAATTCATCCAGACAGCTCCCCTGACTCCTGATCACCTCAAGAGGAAGAAGGGAGAGAGACTTCGACTCCCGCCGTGGCTGAAGACGGACATCCCGGTCGGGAGGGAGTTCCACCGGCTCCGAAGGGACCTGAGAGGGCTGGGTCTGACCACGGTGTGCGAGGAGGCCAAGTGTCCCAACATTGGGGAGTGTTGGGGAGGAGGTGAGGGGAGGCCTGCCACAGCTACCATCATGGTGGGTTACAACTCTTTAATGTTGCATACCAGGAAACCTTAGACAGAAAACACTTTTGTAGAAAACGATTTGCAAAAGGTTCAAAAACCTGAAATAGTTTTTCCTCAAACGGTTTCCACTATTGATCACGTACCAATAAGTGAAGCAAAACAAACTAGACAATCTACAACAAAAGTACAAAAAATTGTAAAAATCTTATCAGGGGACAATTTTGGTGGAACACGAGTTTGATCTATGAACAAAGTGTGGCTGAGGCTCAGTGTCATTCACATCTCTAAAGGTAATGGGAGACCAGTGCACTCGAGGATGTCGGTTCTGCTCGGTGAAGACAGCGAGATCTCCCCCACCTTTGGACCCTGCTGAACCGGTCAATACCGGTATGGCCGTGGCCAAATGGGGAGTGGATTACATCGTCATTACATCAGTGGACAGAGACGACGTGGAGGATATGGGGGCAGACCACTTTGCCCGCACCGTTGAAGAGATCAAGAAAAGGTCAGCGACACATAGTCATTGTTTTAAGGGGGTTAATATTTGTGTGTAAACAGTGCGTTTTTCTAATGCCTTAGGCTTACTAAGTAGCTGTACCTGCCTAAGCCCTTATGGTTTTTACATACATAGTTCTGTTGAAACCTTCTTCTATGTAAATGTGAATTGTTATAGGTTTTTATGCAGTTGATTTTGATATTGACAGACATTAATTTGTGTGTATGTAGGAATCCGGTGGTTTTGGTGGAAGGGCTGACTCCTGACTTCCAGGGTAGGAAGGACTGCATTGCTCGAGTAGCCAGATCTGGTCTGGAGGTGTATGCTCACAACATAGAGACTGTCAGGGAACTACACTGGTCAGTTATTGCAGAGAGAGAGAAGAGGGGAGTTGGTTGCACTGCCAGCTATAGTCAGGATATTCAGAAAGTTGGTTGGACTATCCTTTTCCTCACTTGTCCATAGTTTGGTCCTGGATTGTGCTCTCCACCTATTGTTTAGGGTGGTTGGTTTGACTGTCATTCCCCCTGTTTCCTCTCGAAAAGTACACTAAGTTTAATCCAGGGGTAGTATATAGTTGTTTACGCTAATAGGCAGCACTCTCTCTTGCCAGGTTGGTGAGAGACCCCAGAGCAGGCTACCGGCAGTCTCTGGAGGTCCTGGAGCATGCCAAGCAGGTGAACCCTGACCTGGTGACCAAGAGCTCCATCATGCTCGGCTGCGGAGAGACAGACGAACAAGTCCTCCAGACTCTAAATGGTGCCCACCCCGTGAACAACTGTCGATGTGTTCATTGTGTCTCTCTATGTAGATCTGAGGAAATCTGGTGTTGACTGTGTCACTTTGGGTCAGTACATGCAGCCAACCAAACAACACCTGAAGGTATATACACAATGTAATTACTGAGCTAAGAATGCATGGATGGCGGGCACATCTCAGTCGTGCCACACACTGAACTTTATCATTCTTTGCACATTCACTCTGTAAACCTACACGTCATGTACAGTAGAGGGATTTTGGCCATAATATCATCCACGAAAGCCCAAATTTTCTTGTGGTCTCTCTCTCTCTCCCTCTGTCACACACTGGGTATATATAAATAGGTGAAAGAGTACGTGCCTCCAGAGAAGTTCAAGTTCTGGGAGGACGTTGGGGAGAGGCTGGGGTTTGCCTACACAGCCAGTGGACCCCTAGTCAGGTCCTCCTACAAGGCCGGCGAGTTTTACATCAAGAACATTGTGGAGAAGAGATCTGGCCGCAGAGAGACCAGCCATCACTCAAATCTCTCATCTACTTAGTTACACATCAGTGGGTCCACTGCAACAAGTGTTTTTAAACTTTCATTCACTGACGATGTTACAAGCATATCCATTACAAAATTTATGAAGTGTGCTAAGCAGCTTTTACTGGCCGCAATTCAATACCCCGCCCTACTGTATATACCTTGAGGTTGAGGATAAGTAACTAAATGAGCGTCATATAATCATGTTTCATGAAGAAAGGTGATACACACAAAGTGATGATAAAAAGCTAAATTCCTAATTCTACTTCTCATGCTTCAGTTTCCCCTGCCCCTTCATCTCCTCCTTCATCTCCTCCTTCGTCCTGCTGACTCACGACCGGAGACGACACCCCGTCAATCGGGACTAACAGGTTTTCCCGGGACATCAACCCATATTTGGTCACGAACCTCGTAAACCTCAGACACAGCGACGTCTCCCCCTCGAACTCGGCAAACAACTGCTGGTGATGGAAAAAGGCGTGCGAGAAAATGCGGTAGATTCGTCGTGCAATAGACCCAAGTCTCTGGACGGAGCTCTCGCGGATTGAGACTCGACTGTCAAAGTGTTTGTTGCTGTTCAGGAGGCAGGAGGCCCCGTGGAGTGTGTGGAGCGTGTAGTCGAGTGCCGAGCACTCCTTGGGCTCCCCGTGAGCCGCGCAGAGGAATATCCACTGCTCCGTGGCTTTCATCTTTGTGCAGATGACAGGGTCGCACTCGTTTTGGAGTCTGACGGCCATGTGGTTGAGTTCCAGACAGAACTGCCGCAGATGCTCGTACTTCCAGACGGCCAGGTCGTCGTGACCCTCGGGCGGCTCCAGAATGGCGTCCACGTCGGTATGGTCCTTACGTATCATGTACTGAATGTACTGTTGGACTATGGGGGGATATAAACCGTTCAGTAAGGATTGTAAACGAGGAGCAGGGAAAGACAGACCTGCTAGAATGGTATCCATGTCGTTAAAGTCTTGTGGCGGCCACGAGTAGAAGTCTTTGGCCTTCGTGCCGGGCCTGTTTCTTCGTAGAATTCGCTGCTCCGACTCGGCCGCCATTTTGCCAACTCAGTTGAAGCCACGCCCACCGGACCACGCCTACCACTAACCTACGCCCCCTTCACGTGTTGCCGCTCTGCTTTCCCTTCTCTTTCTGACCAGCTCAGCTAGCTAGCTTGCTCCATTTCACTGAAGTCATGTTCAGAAAGTGGGTAAATGTTTTCTCTATGTTTCAGCAATGCCACCCCCTCTTCTCTCTCCCTGCTAATGTATGGGGCAGGTTCTCTGCAGGAGAGAGTGTGTCAGGCACCACGCAGGCCAAGGCATCAGTAGTGAGAGGAATCAGAACAAAACTCACTGAACAGTACCCAGAGCTGGCCGACTATATCAGTGACATCATCCCTAAAAAAGAGCCCCTCCATATCTTGAAATGGTGAATACTTGTCTGCATATGTGGATTGTTATGAAGTTAAACAGGGAGAAAAAAGGTCTTTGGTTTAATTAAAGTGAATGCTACAATTCCACACTTCAACTATAGTCAAAGTATTAGGAATGGTTAATTTGTCATTTGTTTTACTTACGTACCTGCAAAAAATGCAAAACCGTTGTCTTATCGAGGGAGGAAGGACTGGACGGGTAGCAAATATATAGAGGCGAGATAACGATAGAGGCAGTGATGTAGAAGCAACAACATGTGTTTCCGGCTACCTTTTCCCTGCAGTCATGATCACATTGAGATCCTGATGAGAGACAATGAGCTACTGCTGTTCAGACAGAGGGACGGTCCTTACATTCCTACCCTCAGACTTCTACACAAGTGTAAGTGGCAGCTACCATAATAATTACTACCATGTCACACTTGAAGTTCTGGCATGAAACTAATACAAGAAATGGGTGGTTTTCACTATGTCCTCGTGTGTACCTGCATGTGGAGCTACATAGTAAAGTAGTGATGGAGCGAGATAGGGGGGAAAGACGAATGTTTGGGGAGAAAAGGGGTGAAGTTCGGTGCGACATCCAGGCATGCGAGACAGTGTCACTTATGCTATGAACCAAGGACACGTCTCCACTAAAAGGCACACTCGCCTGCACACACACACACACACACACACACACACAGATCCGACAATACTACCACGAGTACAGGTGGACAAGGGAGCAATTAGGTTCATCCTCAGCGGAGCCAACATTATGTGTCCCGGGCTCACCTCCCCTGGAGCCAGGATGGACGTCTCTCTGCCTCAGGATACTGTTGTCGTATCCTCTTATATACCTCACACCCTGCCTAATAGACATATTATATAGGATCACACGAGTATTATAATTATATACCTATGCTTTGAGTATGTGTGGTGTATATAGCTGCCTCATAAAATTCATAATTGCATGTGAGTAGGGCATTTCTGTCAATGCTTTTCAGTGACACAGTAAGTGCATTCTGTGTAGATCTGTTGTGTAGCTGTTTGTCTAGTCTCTAGAGTTGTGTTTTCCTGACGGTCGTTGTTCAGGCTGTAATGGCTGAAGGGAAGGAGCACTGCGTCAGTATCGGGATGACTAAAATGTCCACCGATGAAATGTGAGCATCTCTTTCCCCTCCTCAATCTCACAATGTATCTTGCATGCCCTCATATTCTACTGTTTTCAGAACTCGTGTGAACAAAGGAATCGGTGTAGAAAACATCCACTTCTTGTGCGACGGACTATGGAACATGAAAGATTTTCACAGATAGTCACAACACACTACTTCTTCACTCTCAACTCCCCACACTTCTATTGTCAATGAATGTTGGTAGAGTGAAACTGAGGTGTGCTCTAATTGGAGGAATGAAATTGTCATGAAATAGATACAGGTGTTGAGCTACTAGATGGAGCTGTTACTCCACCACTCGGTGTGGTACTAGCTGTCTCGGTTTTCGTCCCACCATCCTCCACCCCACCACCAACACTAGTGTTTTCATAGTTTTCCTCTGAGAACAGCTCCCCTCGTCGCGAGGAGAGGTACGTCAGGAGCTCCTTGAAGTGGTGGTGAAGCAGCTGAACGTGGGTCGAGGGCAGCTGGGCGTGGCAGAGAAAGAGAGGCAACTTTATAAACAGTCTCAGGAGGTGTTCGGCTCCATAGACTTGCGATGGCATCAGTGGAGAGCAGGGATGAGTGCTGGTAGTGGTGGGCTCTAATTGGAGTTTCTGTTGCTCTGGTTGCCATGGGTTACCATGTGGGGTGTGCTCTAAATGGGGTGATGGGCTACAGCTGTTTTTGGCAGTTTCTAGTGAATTGGTTGATCTTTGTCTGCTGGAGGATGTTGTTTTGTTCCGATCTGTTATCACGGATTTGAACTGTTCTCTCTCCGGTCCATATAGCAAGTGGTCTTCCATCATGAAATCAAAGTATATCTTTATCCCGTCCAGAACCTCAGCCAGTAAGGTGGGGCTAGTGTGTGTGTGACGAGACATTGTTCAGTGGGTGGAGCAATGGGTGTGGTCAGCCTCACCTAGTCTCCTCGGTGGGTGTGGCAATGTTCTGGTAGTAGAACTGGCGAAGGAGGTCCTCCACACTTGGTTTCCTTGGCAACCTCAGCAGCTGGCAAGAGGAAAACAAGAGCAGCTAGAGACACCTGTACATCACAAGTGTCCTTCATCCAGAGGTGTTCCTTTCGTATATAATGTATATTACAGGACCAAGTGGGTACTTTTCAATGTTATCTCAAAACGTGGTTCTATAGGATAAGATCATTTGGGTAGCACGGTTGTATAATATACTTTGTGTTGGCAGAGGATCCAGAAACACTCGTCCTCCATGTTAGCTCTGAGATGTGCTGGTATCGGGAGAGGGATCTCCTCGCTGGACTGGGAGTAAAACGCAGTGTCAAGTATTGCGTCAAGAGAGTTACAAAGAGAGAAATGAGATACCTCCATTCTCGCAGTGGTGTGCTCCAAATAGAGTAATCCGAGTTGCGCTCTTATTGGAGTTTTGTCGGGAGCGCTTCAATTGGAGTGCAAACAAAACATGGCGAATTTTCTGGAGCCGGACATCTCCACGAGGCTGTTGCGTGTCACGACGGCCTTCAACGACGTCCTCTACTCGTGCGCAAACGAACCGTCGCTCGGGATGTACCGCATCCAGGAGCACGTCGCAGTGACGGTCCCGAAGCTGGTAGAGCAGCGACGGCAGTTGAAAGAGACTTGCCAACGGGTCGAAGACGCTTGCTACGACCTGGAATACGACGCCAAGACGCTCACAGACATGGCAAAAATCACGCAGTTCAGCGGCGTCAAACAAAAGTGAGCCTTTATTGTTGTTTGCTAATTTCAGCTTCATCGTTGCTGCTGTCTGCTGCAGCTTGCTTCGGGCCATTGAACTGCATAAGAAGCTGGACGAACTTGAAATACGGAAAAGAACTTCTTACTCTCCAATACCTGCAGCATCTCTCCCAGTTACAAAACCTCAGCCTGCCCCACCCTCCCTCCCTCCCCACACTCTCACACAGACCACACCCACCAATCAAACCCCGGGCACTAAAGATGATGTGAGTGATTCAGACACCAGTACAGACATCACAGGAGATCTGACTGCAGACAGTCAGAATCTGGTTCCAGACATGGGAATCAGACCAAAGACATTCAATTGACAGTCATATTTTTAACAGTCGATTATACACACATGAACTGGAAAATATTCAATGATTTGTTGGTGCAAAATAATTATGATCAAAGGCCTCGCGTCACATCCTCATGCCAGATACCAGGACGTCAGTAGAATGGATGTAGGACTACAAAAACAATAGCTTCACAAGGGTCACTAAGAAATGGTGGCCAGAGAGAGAGAGATGGGAGGGAGAGGTGGTCATAAGGAGGAAGAGAGGGAAGGGAGAGGAGCGCTCAGACTGCGAGAGTTGGTGGGTTTGGGTCTCCAGTCTTGCTGGAACTGATAGCTCCACATCATAAGGGACCCAGAAACCTCGTCTGGGAACTCCAGACTGCAGAATACCTTGATTGGGGGGACAGAAGAAGTGAAAGCAGCAGGGTGCAAGGAAAAGAGGGTCAGATCAAGGTGACAAAAATGTCTTAATTTTGCACATTTTGGGAGTTCATTTTTGAGAGATGCAACTGAGATATGTGTATGTATAATAAATTATACCTCTAAGTTGGCAGAGATTTTCTTGGAGCTGACAATTGGGATGATGTTCTTGATTTTCCCGTCCCCACAGTGCTGGAGGCCGAGGTGACAGGTCTCCCTCTTCTCCTCAACGGCCGCCGCATCGAGCAGGATGAGGTAGCCGTTTCTGGTTCCAAGCCACACCGCTCTCCCCTGCAACGACATCGCTGTGATGTCATCATCATTCACTAGAACCCCACTGCGAGCAAGTGAGAGAACAGTGCGCGTAAAGAAAAACCGAAAGACAGAATTCATTACTAACTTGATGTTCTTGATGTTGAACTGCGAAATCAGAGCCCCCGATTCTTGGTTCCAAAGTCTGAGAATGGGACTCCGTCTTGCCACTGTCCACACTCCGTACCAGTTCACTCGCAGGAGCGTGATTACGTCGCCCCACGATGGAGGCAGGGGGGAAATCCCTCTGTTTTTCTCGGGGCTCGGGGGAGGGGTGAGGGGAATTCTGCGAATACTCCTGAGAGTGACGGTATCCAACACCTCTACGTCACTTCCAGAGCTGCACCACACGTGGCCCTGCACCGTCAACTGCATGGCGATACACGGTCGGTTCCCCACCAGATACACCACAAGTTTCGGCCCCTGCAGGGGGTTCTCGAGAATTTTCCCCTGGTGGACCCCCAGGAACTGGATGAGTGCTCCGTTTGCCATCCCAACGAGGACCCTATACTTTGTCTGCTCCCCTCCGTAGCTGACTGCCAGTTTATTGAGAGCCGCCAGAGATAGAACGGCGTCTTGGAGGTGGATGTAATGATGCGTTCTCATGTCAGGGAGCTTGAACACGTACACAGAACCTCTCGACCCATTCTCTGCTCCAACCCACAGCTGCTGAGTCTCTTCCACAAGTGTCAGACCCGTCGCTCGACCCACCGCAATCGGAACTGGTTTCGGCATTCGTTTGGCAAAGAGCCCCGACTGAGGCGGCGGGGCCTCCTGTAGAATATTGCTATTGAGGGTCCCGGTGCGGATATCCAGTGTGCCTGTGACGAGCCCTCGAGAGGCCGACGTCCAGTACACGAGATCGGCCTCCTCCGAGCAGAGAAGGCACTCAGGGTTGAGTGTAAGTCTCACAGGAGACCATTCCTGATTCCCGGCACAGAGACTCAGCCTCGCTCGCAGGTGCCCCGGGTATATTTCTTTGCCGGCCACGCACTCCTCGATCGACGTCTGCATGCAGAGTCTGTGACAGGAGACGGGTGTCTGGGTCCGACTGTCTCTCCGCGCTCTCCGAGAATTTGCGAGCTCCGCCTCGACATTTAGCTGTAGTCTCTTGTTAAGGAGAGAGAGGACAACCGTAGAGAGAGTGTATATTTCTTCGTAGGGTTTGGTCCCCGTGGCAACCTCGTAGATTAGGAGACCTAGCAACATGTAGTCAACCTGTATAAGGAATGGGAGGGAGGAAGAGGAAATTATTATCGGAGGGAGCGAGAGGGAGGGGCTTACTCGAGTAGCAACCATCTTTCTTTCCTCCTTCAAGGGAATTGACTTAATGTATGAACAGAGCTGCAAATATACAAGAGATTACTGAATGATTACAGAGAATTTACTGACAACACCAAAATACTGAGAGATTAACATGTTCAAGCCACAGATTGATTAACAGAGTGAATATAACTACTTCGACTGAATAATACTCATCCACCATCAATACAGAAAATTTCAACATAAATTACTAGTTGAACATGTAAAATCAACACAAGATTACTGACTGGAGTACACCACGGACCTGGCAGCCGCGAGGGGAGTGAGTGATTCCAGAGTCAGAGAGTTTGATGCTGACAGGATCCCTACTCCACAGTAGAACGTTCTTCGACTGTAGAGTGTGGTAGTTGAGTCCCTCGCGATGAAAATAGTCCAGCGCACTCAGCAACTGTAGTACAATTGGTGTGACAGGATTACATAAGGGAAAAGTATGGTATATGGCATACTATGTAGCTGGGTAACCCAACACATTATTCGTGACTCAGAGCTTGGTCCTAAATGAAGAAAAGGAGAGAGGTGTGTAGCGCCAAACGTCAGGGTTCAAAAACGACGTCAATTGAAATTTGCGATTAACCACCCCAACTAGACTGAAGTTAGGCATACATGGATGCATGCAGTTTTAGCAAGTAGTTAGGCTGGCTTCACCGCCAAAAACAGAGGGAGAGGGAGAGAGAGTGACCTGCAGTAAGATGTGGTGGATGGTTGAGGTTCCGATCTCCACCAGTCCCAGGCCCTCCTCTCTCAGGTAGTGATGTAGTGACCCAAGTGGGGAGCTCTCTACTGCCACGCTGCACACAGGGAGGGTGGGGGGAAGAGAAAAAGTGACCCAACTACAGTATTGCACGGCGAAAAAGGCAGTAAATTTGTGAGCCATCTCTGCTGTATATATATTTAGTGCATGATGTAGAATTATATGTACACACATACTGTAAGTAGTATCCTTCCGCTACGTTTGTATATAAATTGATAAATTGCTGGGTATATATGTACATACTATGTATGTACCTGGGGGGAGAGAAGTGGATTCCAACAGCAGTCACGATGTATGGACATTGCAGCTGCCTCAGTTTGTTCAGGTCGTTGTGAGCTCGTTGGAGACATCTCTTCAGTGACAGCTGTAGTGGAACAGGATGGCAAGCATTTTGTATTTGAGAAAGAGGAGGAGAGATGAGAAGGGGGGAGAGATGAGAAGGGGGGGAGGGAGAGGCTCACCATTCTCGAAGTGCCTGATTCTCTCTTCACGCACTCCTCCTCGTCTTCAATAGTGTAGTAAGACCTAATATGGAGACCGCTGCTGCTGCTGCTGCTGGACTGGATTCCAATCTGATTGCATGGTTCGATTCCATTCCAAGTACACACACCGGTAATGGTGTGTGAGCGTTTTCTGCTCATCTTCCGTACGCCAGTCCCCGTTCCATTCTGCTCTGGCAATGATTTCAGAGTCACAGATTTTCCCTGACCCACCCCACCACCAATCCACCCCTTGGTCCCGAGTCCATTCCCAAGTGTGCCCGTCTCTGTTCCGGAATGGGCGGGGCTTGCGAGGGTGCTGTCGCCATGGTTCCTGAGCAACAGTTCCGGGGCCACGTCCCCAAACAGCAGGTCTGGTACCAAATCATCAAGTCTTACTCTCCTGATGAAGAGAAAACCATCACCGCAGGGAAGCTTATCGTACGAGTAGCCCGAAAAAATTTAAATAGTGAACTCATGTTCCATGCGTGCATTGACGTGCCTTGTTCAATTTTCGCAATTAATATACAAACATTTGACTAAGATCACAATTTTTTTGTGCAAATCCTAAGGTGTACAAAATAATGGTGATGTCATACCTGTTGTTGACGTGAATTACTGGAGAAGTAAACGCTGCCCTCAGACACTCCCACACCGGCACCAGGAAATGACTCGAAGTGCTGTCCTAAAACATTACATTACAATGACGTCATTGTAATTACGTAATGATGACATCACTCACCGTTTTGAAGCTGAAGCGGGTGCTGGTGGAGCTGTGTTTGGAGAGGATCTCCCATGACGACGTGTCGGTCGTCTGATCGACGAGGAGTCGTTGTCGAGAGCTCCCAGAGCTTACGTTTGACGGGAGACTCCCTACAACAGGCCACGCCCCCACCCTCCTCCCCTTCCCCTCCTCCTCACTCCCTCCCCTCCTCCCCAAACTCCCAACTATCACCCCTCCTCCCTCTTTTTCCACCTGCGAGAGGTTCACACCGTGCGGCGATTTCGAAAGAAGTGGAGACATGTCTTCTGAAAAAACATCGTCTTCTTCTCCCTCCCCTCCCCCTCTTCGCTTCTCCCCACTCATCACCAAATCCACATCTTCCCCTCTCTCTCTCCTCCCTCCCTCACCCTCTCCCTCACACTCTCCCTGCCCCTCGAAAGGAAAAGGGACGAAGATCTCCACCAGCTGTCCTGACAACTCCGTGTCCAGGAGACCAGGATACACATGCTCCAGCAGCTGCCACAAGAGAGAGTATATACACATCAGTATATTTTCAGTATACTATTGCATATCATTTCAGTATATGCATTCAGTATATTCCCAGTATACTTCATCTTCTGTAAATCATGTTTCAAGGCGCCTAACGTCCACCCGCTCGACCATTCTTCATGCATGATACAAAAACTTGGCCTTGTAACCTAATACAGTAGCGTTTGTGCCAGGCAGTGAAGAGAGCTAACAACAAACAGCAGGTACCGAAGTTTGCGATGGGGAAAAATTGCCACCAGCATACCGACAAAGTTAGAATAGACTCGAAGGGACAGTTCTTACGTGGTCGATCTCCGTGGCGACAATCTTCAGCCACTGGGCCTCAGTTCTGGG